GTGGTGGGGGGGGGGGGGGGGGGGTGGGGCGGTATTTTTTTGGTTTGGTTGGTTGGTTTTTTTGCTTCTATGCAGTCAGACATCTCCTTGTTGTGATTTTTAATATGCTCCTTTTGCCATTTACTGGCCAATTTTCAGAAGAATTGGCTCTGCCTTCGTAACATCCAGTAGTGGAAAACTGCAGTGAGATTCCACTGTGCCTTTTTTTTTTTTTTTTCCCCCCAGCCTGAGCAAACCAAGCCTTTCTGTGCATTTCCTTTGCTTCAGCTCCCAGTGATTTCATGGAAGTTCAGCAAGACTCTCTCCAGATTCTCAAAATTGCTTGTGCTTCAGTGCAGGAACTGCACGTAGTATTCAAGCGGTTAACTCAGCAGTGTTGGGTAAAGCAGGATAATCACATCCCTTGATATTCTGACCACTCTTGCTAATACAGGAAGGTATGTTGCTACCCTACTCACTGCAAGGACAATATAGGGAATATATCCTGCTAATGAGGGCAGAACTGCAGTTTCCATGGACATACTGCATTGCAGAATGCAGGTGATTCCCATGTAACCAAATGGAGGGAAAGACATGAATGCCACTAGGACTCTTGGATTATTTCCTCTCTCTTTCACTATAGGCATTTTAGATTCCTTCATTTTTTCCCTATTTGCTTTAGAGAAATATCTTAATAGGTCATTTGCAGAAAAAGAGGAATCCTTGATCCTTATCACATCCCCTTTGCGTGCAGCCTGTAGAGCTGTGCACAGGCAGAAATGCTTTAAAGGTGTGAGGGTCCACCTACACAACCCAGAAGGTGCTAGTTGAAAACTGAGACTTCGCTCTCCAAGCCCAGTCCCTCACAACCCAGTTTTGCCAGGTCGCAGAGGCCAAGGCAGCTAAGCCTGGTGCAAAGATGGTGACAGGACCTTGATGGTCTGGTGGTTTGGTTGATGACCCCTTCTGCTACCAGTTACAGAAACCTAGCTGGGGGCTGGGAATGAGGCCAAACTGTGTTGATCATGAAGAGATTGTAATCTGAAGCTGGTTGGGAGGAGGGAACAGAGTGTTCCCAAAGACAGCACTGTGGAAGGAGAGCAGAAACAGCCAAGGGATAACTCAGTTGGCCCTATGCTGGGAGCTCCACTGCTCTTCAGTAACTTCCACAGGGAGTAGTCTGAGGTGACCAAAAAGTGCCACAGCTGGAAAGAGCAATAGAGGTCTGCTTCTGTGTCCACTGAGGGGTAGCATGTGCTTCTGAAGTGAGCAGGGTAGCACTCCACAACATCTGCCTGACAGCTCTGTCCCTCTTGGCTTTTGGCATACCCTTGTTGATTACTGCCTAGTGTTGTGGTTTAACCCCAGCCTGCAACTAAGCCCCACACAGCTGCTCACTCATTTCCCCCCCAGTGGGATGGGGAGGGAAACAGAAGGGTAAAAGTGAGAAAACTCATGGGTTAAAATAAAGACAGTTTAATAGGTAATGCAAAAGCCGTGCGCACAAGCAAAGCAAAATAAGAAATTCATTCACTGCTTCCTGTCGGCAGGCAGGTGTTCAGCCATCTCCAAGAAAGCAGGGCTTCATCATGCTTAACCGTTACTTGGGAAGACAAATGCCATCACTCCAAACATCCCCTCCTTCCTTCTTCTTCACCCAGCTTTTATTGCTGAGCATGATGATATGGTCTGGAATATCCCTTGGGTCAGTTGGGGTCAGCTGTCCTGGCTGTGTCCCCTCCCAACTCCTTGTGCACCCTCAGCCTCCTCGCTGGTGGGGTGGGGTGAGGAGCAGAAAAGGCTTTGACTCTGTGCAAGCACTGCTCAGTGATAACGAAAACATCCCTGTGTTATCAACACTGCTTCCAACACAAATCCAAAACAGGCCCATACCAACTACTATGAGGAAAATTAACTCTATTGCAGCCAAAACCAGCATTTTGTAGCCTAAGCGCTCTTAGCAGCCCAGAAACTTTCGAGCTCTGAAATTCTTTGAAGCCAGGAGTGATGATGTGATTTTCACCATCTTTTCTAAAATGGGTGAGTCTTGCTTGCTTGATGAAGAGTCCACTGCTGCAGTCCAGAAGTGTGTGACTGCACATAACACAGCAGTAACACCCGCGAAAGGTTAGTGATGGCTTCAGCCTGCTCTGGAGGCACAGGAGCAGGGGTTGTTCCATGG